TACACTCAATGTTTCTTGTTCACATAAATTACCTTATAAAAGAGCAACAAGGAAAACCCAGCCAAGTACAAACTCCATGGTGAGTTGTCTGTGTTGTGTCCTGATCACTGAATCGAACACGTGGGGATCCCAGGGCTGGGTCTCCTCTCCCACCTGCAAAAGTGGGGGCTCAGCTGGTTTAATCGGCAGAGGGAGGGCCCTATTTGCATGTCCTCTGAATATATATTCAACTTGGGATCAATGCTGACAGAGAGGGCACTGTCCAGTGCAGGTGTGACTGCTGTTGATGTGGTGCTATTGATCACTTTTGAAAAAATATCATTTACTCTTTGATAACTTTCCAGTGTATATCCTTAGCCTCCATGTACTACTTTGTTTTTCCATGTAAACATAAATCTTGGGGTTTAGGTGTCATGTTCCCCCTTAAGTGATGTGAACCTATGCCTAGAATTGTGGAAAGTTTGTGAGTTGTCCAAGAGCATTTTTGGGGTGAGAGTGAGCCCCAGGATATAAGTTGGTGCTCCTTCCACAGTACTGTGCTGCATCCCTGACACCCCCCTTGGGACAGAGTGGGCAGGCTCATGAGGAAGGTGGAACCCCTCCTGTAATGGGGACAGAATGATTTTGCTTGTTCTAGAGTTTACCTGAAATACAGAGAGAATCAGGATTGTGAAGGTGTAATTTCAAGTCTCTCAAAGTTTTACTCTCTCTGTGTTCCTCCAGAATCATCTCTGTGATGACCTGTAATAGCTCTGATGTGTGCACTTGGCACAGGATGAACTACACACATGCAGAGTGTGGGATATGATAAACACTGGTGTCACAATCAACATTATCGAGAGTGAGCACATCAATTCTCCCTAAAATGTCCTGTACTTATCTTGGAATTACTCTTCCATCTTCCCCTCTTCACCTTGTCCCCACATAATTATTGATCTTTCTCATATCACTTTAAACTACCTTTAATTTTGTAGAATTCATAAATAGATAATTGTATCATATGTACTATTCAGTAGGGCTTCCTTGGCTCAGCATGAATCCTTGTGGGTACAGCCATGCTGCTGTGTGTATCAGGCATCATTGGTTTAATGACCCGCAGCTCTGAAGGCACAGGCTTGGAAGCACCAGCCAGAGGAGGATCTGAAGCAGCAGGAGGAAGCCGCTTGTTTCAAGGCTCATCCACACACCCTCCTCTCCCAGGAGCTCTTGGTCCCAGAAGGAGATTCAATCCCTTGCTGTTTGGTAACATGATCTGCTGGCTGTGGAGAAGAGACCAGGAGGCAGAGCAGGTGGACAGGAGAATGTTGAGGTAGAGGCTCTGAAAGTCCAGGCGATGGAAGAGGCCAGGAACTGGGATGAAGAGCAGAGAGGGAGGAACTGGCCAGGCTGCCGAAGAAACCTCTGCAGAAGAAAATTCAAGACTCAGGTACCAGGGTGTGGAAGTTACAACAGTGTTCAGCCTCTGACTGTGCCCCTATGTCCCATGTTCTCCACTAGATTCCACTGCTAACCTCAGGTGTGAGCTGCAGGCACCACCTGGGCAGAGGAGCTGCTCTTTGCTTCAAACCAGGAGCCTTCTCTCTTTGTCACCAGGGCATGGAGAGGACCCATTTCTGCAGCCACACCTCCCCACACCCCACAGAGCATAACCGACACATATGGAGTCTCCTTTTGTAGAGAGCTGTTTTCCTACAATACTGAGGCTCATAAGGAGGCTCCACACCTGTGTGTCTCCTACTGACTTCAAGTACTTATTTACTTTGAGCCATCGTGGACCTTGACTGTGGGTTTTAACTCTGACTAGAATGTAAAGTGTCTGTATCAGGACAGTGCAAATCTATTGCCCCTCTGTCCCCCTCCCAGTTTTCTATTTTAATCAGAAAATAAGGACCATCAACCACTAAGTTAGGATGTACATCATGTCTTTCCTGAGGAATAATATTATGTATCAAATTCTGTCCTCTTCTTTGCACAGGTTGAATTACAGCAAAGGAGACAGGCTCTCCAATGGGGATGCATCAGGAACTGTACAACCAGGAAGAATACTGTGTGGACCCACATGGAGCCTCCCAGCAGCCATGTCATGCTTTGGGGCAGAGGAGTTTTGAAGACACATTCTTCCATTGTAAGTGCTGATGATAAAAGGGAACGCTGTGCATTACTCGCAAGCATCAGTCCTACCATAAACTGGATTTGATGCCGGATATTGATTCCCCTCCCTGATTATGTCTCATGATGTTTTTACCTCTCTTCGCCCCTTTGTAGGTCACTTCTTATTGGGTAAAATGGATAGTTTGAGAGGAGGAGTGTCCAGGA